GCTATCCACCAAATACCAAGTGATGTAGATGGAAAAAGAGAGGCGAAATTCAAACTCATACGTCGAAAATAAACTGACAATGCCATGGCAAAAAACGAAAAAGACCAAAAGATAAACAACAGTATACAAAACACAACATAATAGACTAAAGACTGAGCAACACGAACCCCACCTAAAACCGGGGGTGATCTCATGTGTTCCGGTAGGGTAAGCATTATGTTCCATTTTCCATTATCGGATTGTTTTTACGATTTTTTTTATTTCTCTAAATGCGTTTTGTTTTTTCATCAGGAATATAAAAAAGATCACAAACGTTAGTTTTTTCGTTTGAATAGTTTTCATTTCGGGGCCTTTTATAGCTTACTATGCGGTATAGGTTTTTTCTCGCCATTACGGAGTCAAAAAGCGAGACATAAGAATGCTGTTTCCGGCTTCGGCGGCAGCGGCGACAGAGGCGGCGTCAACAATGTATTAGTTTGTGATAAGGTCAGTTTTGTGGGGAACCACAATAATGGTAGGTCAATGATATTTGGTGTGCATTAGAGTTGACGGAAGAAAATTCGATACCTTTCGATTTTAAAATTTGTTATTTGTCGTTCTTGAGTTAAGAACCTTTTGATTGTTAAAAAAGTAGATTTTTTATCCCAAAGTTATTTGACTTTAGCCGTTAAGGTATTTTTTCACATCTGAAGCACTAGCCTGAGTATGCTTGAATTAAATCACTGCACACTTTACATTACTGTTTAAATTGGGGAATGTAGGCTCTAATTCGATTTTGGAAATGTTCAGGTCTAAAGTTATTGGATTTTTAACAGTCCAAATATAGGCAATATATATACGTCGTATGATATCCTAACGCATGTTTTCTTCCAGGAAGATGAACATCGGTAACCTACTGTAGCCTTAAATTACGGACTTCAGATTAAAAACGTTCTAAATATCCCATCTTAATTTTGCAACAGTTTCAATATGCAAAAGAAGGGCGTATCATGCGGTCCTGGCGCTGTATCTTTGCTTTTTGTGCTCTTGTTGTGCATGCACTTATTTTGTGACACGGATGGATACCCCATATCATTTCTTTTCTTTTATACCCACAATTTTACGGTTGTAAGAATTTTCCATTTAATTTCATTGATGATCTTGGTGTTTTAATGCGTCATTCTATATTTATTAAGTGTTTTTGTCAAATATTTAAGAACTTAAAAATCATGAGGTTACCGAGTTAATAATGCTTGTTAACATAAAAAAAGAAAGTAAAGAAATTACCTAGGTGATTTCCCGCGAAGGTTATTTTATTAAATGCAGCGAAACATTGTGTGAAATTTTACTGCATTAGATGATAACAATAGTTACCTCTTTATTTGAAACAAGGATAAATTCTCTACAACTTGTTGAAACTGTTAATTTAGCATATTATAGGAGTAGGGGAAATACCTTGGTGGTATCATCCCTGAATAAAACACCTAAAATGTTGTTGTCTGTGTGACTTCAATTACATTATTTTTAGCAAATTATAATCGTTTAATCTTTGTCTAAAGAGTGTCTATATGCCATTTTTTGGGACACTTGTTTGTTTTTATAGTGATTAAGATTATAACACAATGTTGACTGCTGTACTCCAATATTGACATTTTCACCTATTATGTTTGTTTGTTTTGCTCACACATTGTTGTCAATATAATGGAATTCTATGCGACGGTCATACCAGTGAGAGGTTTAGCTAGCTATAAAACCAGGTTTAATCCACCGTTTTCTACAAAGGGAAATGCCTGTTCCAAGTCAGGAATATGGCAGTTGTTTTCCATTCCATTCCATTCTAAATGAAAGGTAACTTCGTTGAATTAATTCATAAAAGCAAAAAAAAAAACCAAAAAAAAAAAACCAAACAAACAAACAAACAAACAAAAAAAACTACAAAAAAACAATAAAAAAAACCCAAAAATTAGGATAGTCTATTTGACCTATTTTTTACCTTTTCATAATTTTATGTCTCTTACACAAGAACAATAAGATAAAGAAATGCTAAACCCTTCTATCATGGAACATGTTAAAAATATTGGCTCCTTTATAAAACAGTCATTAGAACTGAAAGCAGAAGTCTTATAATTTTTTTCCCATGTGTTCATTTCTTATAGAACTGTTATTTCTTTTCTATATTTGTTTTTGTTTTGTTTTTTTTTGTCACAAACTAATTATGTTTATACGACAATTAAGATATTATGGATATTTTGTTAGTACACATAACAATAGTTTCTTTGCTAATTTCTCTTATTAAAATTTATTTCTTCCATAAAAAATATCCATTTTGCAAAAGTTATAAAATATAACAGCATTACAGGAAAAATGTTGTGTTCAGTTTTCAAACTAATTAAAATATATCCACATGTTTCAGATTTTGCGACAAATACAGATACAACCGAAAATCTTACCAGTTTGATACACGACTCTATAATGTAATGATTGTTTATGACAATTAATTTGATGCAAAAATCGAACACATGAATTTACAGTTTAACATTGAATTAATTGGCTTCAGTAATCATGTTTGTATTGGTAACAGGGAATCACAATATATCTTTGTGTTGCATGACAAATGAAATTAATTTTCATGTCGCTGCAAATACCCCCAAGAGATGTAAATTTATACAACACACAGTCTATTTTTGTATACTTCTGAAATTATTAACACACAGAAAAGAATGTAATCTTGGAGCATCAACAATGCAAAGGCATCAAAATCTTTTACCCAATAAATAATCACAATTTTAATTATGATCCCTGAACGATATGAAAAGTGTAGAAGGTGAAATTGTTTCGAATAGATAGTTTTTACCTGATACTGATGTTTATTGTTTATAATGACAATATTTTGTGTGAATAAGTGTATTGGTTACTTTATACCTTTTAAAATTTGTCTCAATCTTTTGTACTTTGTTATCTTGTATATGTTAATTTCTTTTTTAACCTTAATTCCTTTCAAATATTTCTTTGATAAATTCGTACCCTTCATTGGTATTTTTGTGAAGTGCTTTGTGCACTTTTGTGTTTTTGGAATAGATACTAGTATTCATCATTTGATGATTGGATGATTGAAACAATAGCTAGTGCACACACTGAGATATTTTGCTGGCTTTACTGATCAGGATTGAATTTTATGTCGAGTCTATAAGATCGAGGCCTCACCAGCCCAGTAGTCAGCACTTCTGTGTTGACATGAATTATCATTGATATGGTCATAATTATAGATTAACTATTTACAAAACTTTGAAGTTTTGAAATACTAAGGCTTTTCTACTTCAGAAATAGATTACCTAAGCTGTATTTGGCAAATCTTTTAGGAATTTTTGGTCCTCAATGCTCTTCAACTTCGTACTTTGTTTGACCTTTTTAACCTTATTTGATTCGAGCGTCACTGGTGAGTCTTTTGTAGACGAAACGCATCAAAATAGTTGTCCTGTTACTATAGTATCTAAGAAACATATCTAACCATGATAACTTGAAGTCAACCAATGAACCATGAAAAGGACGTCAAGGTCAGCTAGATGAACCCTACCGACCCAACATGTACATGTACACCTGATAACAACCATTACATACACAAAACAGTTGACCTATTGATTTAAGTAACTAAGAAAAGGATCTTACAATGAAAACTTGACGTTGACTTTTAGATGAACCCTGCCAGACGGAGAAGTACAATCATTCCCTACATAAAATATAGTTGACCTATTGATTACAGTAGGTGGGAAACGTTCATAACCAGACATCTTCATGTTTGTATTCATGTAATATAATGTTTACCTCCTGCATAAAGCTTTTTTTATCTCCTGGTGGAATCTAACAATAAATAAAACATGGGAAGCAAGAAGAAGATACCAGGCGTACGCCAGACGTGCTTTTCGTCTACAAAAACCTCATCAGTGACACTCGAATCAAAAACGTTGATGGGTGGGGTTTCGTTTTCCTCAGTCTTTAGTTTTCTATGTTATGTTTTGTGTACTGTTGTTTGTCTAATTGTCTTTTTCTTTTTTAGGTTTTTTAGCCATGGCATTGTCAATTTGTTTTTAGTATTTCGAAAATTTTTAAGTTAAAAGCTTACTACCAGTAATGTTAACACTGCACGTATTTGTTTTATGATAATAGCACGTAAGTAGCTATTTCATTAATGAGACATTTTTTATATATCTTCTTTTTAAATGTCTTAAATAATTTTTCCTAACGTGAACATTACCCTTGAGGAAAGTAAAAAGGGTCATTTTATGTTGTACTGTTACACCACTGTCCCATGTTAAAAACATGTTTTACCCCGCCACGATATGTATGTGCTTGACCCAAATCAGGAACCTGTAATTCATTGGTTGTCGTTTGTTGCTGTTCATTTGTTTTTTGTTGATTGTTTTCTACATAAATTAGGTCGTTAATAGATATAAGAAGATGTGGTATGAGTGCCAATGAGACAACTCTCCATCCAAGTCACAATTTGTAAAAAGTAAACCATTATAGGTCAAAGTACGGTTTTCAACACGGAACCTTGGCTCACACCGAACAGCAAGCTATAAAGGGCCCCACAAATTACTAGTGTAAAACCATTCAAATTCGTTAGTTTTCTTGTTTTCTTGTTTTATGTTTTTCATTTTGGGGGCTTTTATAGCTTACTATATGGTATGGATTTTGTTCTTTGTTGAAGACCGTACGGTGACCTATAGTTGTTAACTTCTATGTCATTTGGTCGTTAGAGTTGTCTGGAGCTGTCTCATTGGCAATCATACCTCATCTTCCTATTTTTGTAATTATCGTCTACGAATTCTAAACACATGATGTTGAATGTTGTCAGCTGTCTTTACTTACTTTAATACTCTTGATACCCTTTGGTTTCGATAATTAGTATGGATAATGAAATTGTAGGCTATGCGTCAATTAGACATCATCACAACGCAAGAGGATATTTATAATGCATTATATATATGTTTCAAATAGGCATGTGAATAAGACTTGTGAATGCAAAGTTTTGTTTATTTTTATAAGAATACATTAAATATTAAATACATTTTAGTCTTAAACGGTCATTTTGATCTCAACATCATCCGAAAAGTCTGGTCAATAAATTATTTTAGTCATATTCAGTCTTTCAGTCAATTTTCGACATATCCGCTGAAGTGAATGCAGTACAAATGTATTGGTCTGAGTATTTTAAGAGATATTCAGATCAAAATGGCCGTTTCAGATCAAACTTTGTTAACAACATATACCAATTAAATAAAACAGGCCGATCACACGATAACCAAAGGAATCAGATTGTTGTGCATAAAGAAGATAAAAGACTGTATCTAGAGGGTTGTTACATGTATTAAACCACTTTTAAAATTATCAGGTGTATACACATTTAATGTAGTTCATAGTTTTTTTTCTAAATTCCTTTTTGTCTAGTTTAGAAAAAGCAATGTCTTAAGTCTAAGCCATTCAGTCTGATGTTCACAAATTCCAGTTTCGTCTACATGCCATTCGATAAAATAAACATCATTTGAAATGTCCACAAGTTGTTCTGGGATATCAATGACGTTAACGTTTTGTAAAATGACAATGATTTTCATAAGGTTTTTTGTGTATTTCTCATATTTTGCCCTTTCAATTTCAAATTTCCCCCATTCACATTCATTGAAATTTTCAGTAATAATAAAAATTACATGTCTACTATGATGAATTGAAAGTGCCTTAGATTCTGATGTGTGTTCTCCAGGAAGATGGTCACGATCGTGTAAGCATATTTTCAGTCCCCATTCTTGTTCAGTTTTCGGTAGGAGATTATTTTTTATCCAAGTTATGCTTCTTTCTTCATAGGAAACATATACATCATATGCATAATTTACATGTAACCCTCTCTCGACAGCTCGTCTGAATTTTCTAAACATAAACAGAATAAGTTTCCATCTGTAATAATACACAATCGCAAGTGGTATCGATACACCCACAATACACGAAATTAATACTATTCCAATCCTAAGCCACACGGTGGCATTGCAGTCAGCAAAATATCTCTTGATATCTTTGGTGACTTCCATTAGATTGACCTGCGTATTATTTGACATTGTACACGTGTAATTGTTTCCATTAACAAATGATACCGGTGTCTTTGTAAGCCATAACAGGAAGTCAAGTGTATTGCACGAACAAACAAAAGCATTATTATTTAAATCAAGGCTAAAATTGTGAGTTGACTCAATAATTTCATCTAACCATTTTCGAATAGTTTTATCAACAGAAGTTATCAAATTATTGGAAAGATCTAACGATTCTAGATGTCGTAGTTTAGAGACACATGTAGGAACTGACCTGAAAAGGTTATTCGACATATTCAGATGCGTTATTCCTGAAGTATTTAATAATTCCGTGTCTTTCAATGTCCAAAGATTATTGAAAGATATATCTACATTTTTCAGTGCGGGAGCTTGTTCTAGCATCCATTGTTTACCTTCAAAAATACTCCTGTCTATGCTGGCATGCGTCATTTTCAATGTGGTCAGTCTTGGCAGAGGAATTGTTTGAAATATCATTGTTGAAGATATTCCAGAGACATCTAAATATCTAAGTTGTTTTCCGCATTTCTGTTGTACAATTGGATACTGTTCAAAAACACTATATGATATATCAAAATATTTCAACGATGAATTTGCGCATGTGATTGATACCGTAGCAGAAACGACTGACATATGGGTAAAGCGAACAAATTCAAGTGATGGCGGTATTTTAAAACTAATATTAAATGGCATCTGAAAAATTTGTTGCTCTTCATGTTTTGGGATGAATTTTTCCGGATGATATACATCAAGATAAACCGGATTCAAAAATTGACTGTCAAGGTATGACATGTCATATGTTTTCATATTTGTAGCCTTTGTTAAGAAAATTACCGTTTCCATGTAATGTTCTATGTTTGTAGATGGTAGTCTATTGGATGATATGATGAATGTTTTGAAGCATTCTGGGTATTGGAATGAAAACAATGAATTTAATTGATCGTCTACAATGCCCGTTTTTGACAAATCCAAAGCCTCTACGCAGATTGTCCTAAGATATTTCATTAGTTTTTTCGTAACGACCACAGAATACGGAAATTCATCATTGTTGACACTCTTACCGCTAATATGGTGAAGGTTGATAACAGACATTTTCTTGTTTTGATAGGGATGAAGTATATTCAGTGCCTGGTACAAATGAATATTTGAATTAGATAAGTCCAAAACTTTCAATTTGGGAAAATAATGCAATATTCCTTTGTCTATTCGAAAAAAATTAAGGCAGCGTCTGATATATAGTTCATTTAACTTCGGTGAAAAATTTCTAAATGTTGAATTTGATAATGTGAACCTATCCATATTTTTCAAATAACACCGGTCAAAATTTAAAACGGTAAGGATTTGCAGTGAACGAAATCCATCCCCAAACTCCGGGAACATAAACAAGTCCAATGATAGAAATCGTAGTCTCTGCAAGGCTGAAAATGTTTTATCTGGATAGACGAAAGTTTTGTTTACAGGTGACTGTTCTTCATTTCGGCCTATGTCAAGAGCCGTCAAATTGTCAAGAGGACTGAACACTCCTGTAGGAAGCTTTGTAATATTTATAAAGTTATCACGTATTTTCAGAGCTTTCAGATAAGGTAAGCCAACAAAAGCATTTATATGTACTTCCGATATTCTATTATGATTCAAAATTAAAATTTCCAATGTCGAATAGTTTTCGAACGTCCCATTTTCCAATGTGTTGATCATATTGATTGAAAGATCCAGTTCTTGGATATTTCTGACAAGATTCCTAGGAACGAACGTAAATCCTTGGTTTTCACAATGAGCAACAAGTCTTTTTACTCGGTTCAAACTGTAATGGCATGACGAAGTTCTAGCATCACAGATAAACGCAATATTGATTGTGATCAGGAGCAGAGCATTAATTTTATGGTCTATCATCTTAAATCCGTATTCATAATAAAACGAAATCGTTGATGTACTCAAACCTAAACCATATGTATTTTTAGCGTCAATAATTTTTAAACTTCCCTTAGATTCAGGATGTTTAAATATGTTTAGTTGATGATTATGCAATTATAGTTTAATAGGACTGGTCCCTCAAATTACAACAATGTGAATGTTTATATTTGTTGTATAATTGTTATGGTTCCGAATTTGTTGATAACTAAAAACAACTACTATACAAGTGGAAGGTTCAGCTAGCTATAAAACAAGGTTTTACCCACAATTTTCTTCGAAAAATCCTTGTACCAAGTCATGAATATGAGAGTTGTTTTGCTTTCGTTCCGTTTGTCGATAATATTTGACGTTTGATTTTGTCAGTTTTCGTGGACTTCCCCTTTATGAATTTACCTTGGAGTTCGGTATTTTTGTTAATACTATTTCTTAATCCCATCATATACTGATTAATCGACTGTTGGTGAATTATAGCCTGTACCCCAAGAGAACTATATCGAGGCCGCGATGAATACATTATTATGTTTGTTCGATTTGCTCACACATTTGATAAAAGACTTTCCATTTTGAATTTTCCTTGGACTTCGGTATTTTTGTTATTTTATTTTTTATTGGGGATTGATTAGATGAAACACATAGATGGAACGAATTTCGAATGGAACAGAAAATCTAAGGAAAGTACGAAAGAGTCATGAAGGTTTGTCAGTTCATTCACAGACATCTCTGGCTGAGGGTGGTTTGATTACATCCTTTGTTAGAAAAAAACTGTATATATTCTTTAACCTAGAGCTCCTGTATGGTGTTGCACTTCATGCAGAATTGGGATATACTGGTAGAAATTGATATTCTGATTTGAACTACTACCATTTAAAATCGAAATATAAATCAGCATTCAAATACATACCAGTAAAAACCTCGGATATCCAGATTTTAACTAGGAGGATTCTGGATTTCACAAGGTGATTAATTAAAGATAATAAATTATAACAACATTTTAAATTAACTTTTTTATGAAATGATCTCATAATAAAAACATGTAAATATAGTTAAATACTTCCATTTTTTACCGAACTTTGTATCTTTTGAGTTTATATAACAAATTACTTTGCAAATTAAGGATGTTCAACATATCAAGCAAAATGATGCAAACACTGTGCCAAGACAACTTCAGGAAACTAATAAAACATTTGGTGAAAAAGGACATATTAGTTTGCTTTACGACGTGGATTGCAAAGAAAATAATGAGAAGTTTTTGGCCATGCAAATTCTTAAATTCAAATAATTAATGTTCAAAAGTTTTATTAAGAAGACGATCTGACATGCAATTTGTTTCTTTGACTCACTTTTAATGACCTTTAACTTTACTTGGACATCTTACGTATTCGTGCATTAAACAAAAAAAAAGTAAATACTTTGGTGACGAGTGTCAGTTTGTTTCTTCCTGTAGTTGTGCAAGAAATTATGAAACAATGTATTGTTCATTTCGTAAAGTCATAATTGTTTGTTCGTTTAAATGTCATAAACAAAATATTATCAAATGTTATTCTAAATAAGCCATTTTAAACTAGTGTCACGAAATTTTATGATTTTTACCAGTTTTTGTTGTAATAAAGCATTGATAATTGCATTGTGTTATTTTCTATTCTATTTTTCTACTTATCAAGTGTATCAGTAAACATCAATAAAAGATATATCCAGAACAATCCAGAATGACCATACTAACAATAGATGTAAGCAATATCCTGGATCCTACTGGAAATTAAGTACAGTCAAGAATATTCCTAGTCGAAATCTGGTTATCCCAATTTCTACAAGCAGATATTGGAATTCCAATTTGAACTAGGTGGACCCAGAATCATACTGAATGCCAATGTGTACTGTAAAATTAGCATTTGAATTTTGGGTCCTCAGTGCTCTTCAACTTTGTACTTTGTTTGGTCCTTTTAAATTTTTGGATTCGAGCGTCACTGATGGACTAGGTTACCTGCTCTGGTAATCAGTAAAGTAAGAGCAACTAAATGAGTAAAATCCATCTTACAATCGGTACAATTCGGGGAAAGAATTAAAGTTTTTTTGTTTTCTATATACATAATTTTACATAATCATCAGAAAACAGTTAATTTTCTCCGAAATTGCACCGATTGTAAGCTTGATTTTACTTTTTTTAGTTGCTCTTACTTAACCGAGTTCCAGAATGTCTTACCACAGAGTTGTTAAGCTGCTGAGAAATTATATACACCGCAGTCAAAAGTCGGTTATGTGAAAATAGTCTATTAACAAACGAAGGCAATATGTAAACGTTCAATTCCCACTTTCCAAGTACATTTTCATTTCTTGGAAGTTACCTTTTCAAAAGAATACATACAAAAGAATACGAAATATAAACCTCGGTACATATAACACAAAAAGAATTAATTTCAAGGATCAATTACATAATCTTTCCTTAGAAACCGGATGTGTTATATGATTTGTTGAGCAGGAAATAATTTTATGTGTAAATGGATTTCACAAATAAAAACAATACGAAAACGTGTTGGAAATTTAAATGAATTCCTGACTTTGTTGTTTAATGTTCATTTCGTGGAAGTTACTTTTATTTTCTTGATAGTTTAGGATCACACCCCTCTTTATTCTGTCGATTTGCTGATTTATCAATTTTCTGGTATAATAAGTCTAATTGTACGGATGACTTTTTGGCTAACATTTTTCATATAGGGAGTACTATCTCAGAACTTTAACAAAAAAAAAAACAAAAAACACGGTAAAGCCAGAACATTTCAAAAATTTGGATTTGACCGTTCCTGGTGAAGGTTATTTCTGAGATGCCCTTTTGAAAAATGTTATCAAATGCTATCTTGAATGGTTTAATTGTTATTCACAACTTGTGTAGACTCCGAGTGCTTTAAATTTGACATACTGTATGAACACCGGTCTATTGTGAAAGACTGTATCCTGGCTTCCAGGTGATGTCTATTGGTTATACTTGTCGCTGGGTTGCTGTCACTTGACATATACTCACAATCTCCTTTTATTAGTTTATCTGGCCCAAAGGACCCGTTTGAGCTTGTGCCATCACTTTGTGTACGTCGTCCAAAATAACATTCCAAATGGCACCAGACTTTGCAACAATCATCTTTGGGATATCTAGTGCAAACAATATGACCGACGCTCCCGCCTTCCAAACAAGAACATAGGCATAATATGCAAGTAATGTCTTTTATCTTGTAAACAGTTTTAGCGTTTTTATCTATTCAAATCACTGTTAATGACACAAATCACCTGCAGTATTAAAATATGGCAGAAATCATCAGTAGCCTCCTTATAGGAATTATTGCACTTGAAAGAAAGAAGATATTGGCCCATGTTTGTGGGATTTTGTCTTTGAAGAAACTGAAGTTCAGAGAGATAAAATTGTAAAAATGCAAAAATTATCAGCAAGTCAACATGGCATAAATCAACAGTTGACTCCTTACAGAGTTATTGTCCTTGAAAGAAGATCTAACGCCTTTTAGTGATTTTTTGAAGAACCTTTATACTAGTAGTAGATAGAGAGAAACTGTAAATAGCAAAAATGATGGATAGTGTGTACTAATTAGTCAACATTGCAAAAATCGACAGTTGTCTTCTTACAGAAATATTTCCCTTGAATGACGCTTTTTATCCATTATTGTGTTTTTGCGGAAACTATAGTTAATAGACAGTCAATATTTTGACAAAAATGACCAGCAGGACAAGATCTAATAGCTGTAATCATTAATCAACTCCTTCTAGATGTTGTTGCACTAGGAAAACGATATTTACCCATTTTTGTGATATTTGCAGTTACTAAAGAAGATAGAGCGAAGTTGTTACGTGTATATTTGTACTTGGTTACATGATATTCCATGAGCGGGAAATATTCCCATGTATGAATCACTCTCTGCCAAACACTGATACAGTCAAGTTTATATTGGACAGTCGGCAAATTTAATATTTTATCATTTATAATAACTTATACTACAGTTATTTATTTGTGATGGTTATATTACACATATTATCATGTTTTTGTTTCTGTATTCATAATACATCCGGTGTCCTCAAGTTTAGGTTGAGCAGTTATTACATTGAGATTTGTGGGATAATGTCAATGAGATTACATTAGTAAAGTGTGTACTTGTTTTTCAAGGCATATTGTATTAAGTGATCACTCCCTCTTAATTGAAAAGGGGAGATATTTTAAAATCCCAAGAGAGGAACGACTTTGTCATAAATGTAAAATACTAGAGGATGAGAAACATTTTTTACTCTATTGTGATTATAATAAAACACTAAGAAATGCCTTTTTTGAACACATATGTACTGAAAATAATAACTTTGATAATTTAAATGAAGAAGAAAAAATTCATTATTTACTAAATCCATCAACGCCTTTACAAGCAAATAAGTTAGGATCCTTCTTGAAAAAGTCATTAGAACTGAGGGCAGGGGACTCTTAACAACTTGTTTGTTTTTATAAATTTTGATGCTGTTTTTATTGTGTTTGTTTGATATGTATGTATATATGTTTATTGTGTTAATACATGTTGGTCACAAACTGTAAAGTTTACAAGACAATAAAATATTTGATTTGATTAATTGTAATGTAACCGTCAACACCATAAGAAATGAGACTAATTGAATCTCCTTATGAGTTTGAATCAATCGGCAATCCTCGGGTGAATCCGCTACTCTCCTTCTATCTATTATATCTATTAGTTAGATGAAGGTACGGAATCGGCCGAGTTGTGACGAATGGAGTTTGAATGTCCCGTTGGTATCTTTCGCGTCTTTTTTTTTTTATATAATAAAAGAACAGGTTACTTTCATATACTTTTAAATTTATTTCTCACTTTTATGTAAAATAAATACCCGTAACAATGTACGGTGAATTTAAATCATTCGGTTGTCTAGTATATGAATAACAAATTAAAAATAACCCTAACATTTAAACATTAAAAAAATCACATAGATATATGATATGAATATCTGGAGGCATAAATAATGCCTTGAAAAGGTTATTT